TATGGGCCAACATTTCTAAAGAATGCTTTCAGCACCTTGTTGAATGAATGCCACGTAGAATTAAGGCAGTTCTGAAGGCGAAAGGGGGTCAAGCACCGTATTAGTATGGTGTTCCTAATAATCCTTTAGGTGAGTGTATATATATATATATAGAGGGAGAGAGAGAGAGAGGCTATTCATTTTTTGGCCTTGCAATATTTATAAGCTAAAGTATGCACAAAAATAGAGCAATACACTATCCATATTACGTCCTCCGGTTAACAAGAGTTTTTCCCATGTTGTTAGAATTTATAGGTAGATAGCTGTAACCAATTCACATTTTTTACTAATTTAAAGCATTTGCTAGGGGCAGGTCAGTAAACTTATGCATACATTTTATATTAACGTAAGGTGTTGACTAGTGGAACATTTATGAAAAGAGTAATGGTGCATTTTTTTAACCAAATATGGAAAGTACGGTTATCAGGTTTCTCTACGTGCTGAAAACGATTTTTTAAATATGAGACAAACCACATAAAGATAGGTCTAGACAGGTTTATGCAAGCCTGCCTCACGAAGGGCAGCGTTTAGGTTTACAGACACAATTGTTACTTTTGCATCAGAAGACAACAATACATTGTTTTTGCTGTTTCTGGGCTGTATGGAAATCCAAAGAAAATATTTACGAATATTATTATCATCTAAATAGTTGTTAACTTACCAATGATGACAAAGTATGTACCTCAAGGCTATTTTTGCACAGGAATTAGATGTAGTGATAGGTAATAGATTCAATACAAGATTCAAGGTATTTTACTTGAAGTGTATATAACAGTGCATATTCATTACGCAGCTATTCTTTTCTGTAAATTACAATGTTAAATTTCCATTTTCGATTGCATACGGTACAGTGACCGATTTTCGAATCAGGAATAATAACATGAGTAATGTTGTATGAGGCAGAGAGAAAGCCTATAAACTCTTGTACTTGAATTCTGTACTTGTACAATTCTGTAACTAGTTTAAGTTTGAACAATAGGGAAGTAGCAGAATGTCAAAATATTTTTTGTAGTGCATGCAGTGGTGATGCTCATGTGCCACGATGACTGGTCGACCTCCAATCTTTCACTGTTTATTTCCATTTATGCTTAGCTGTTGGGTTTTAAGGGACCTTTCCATGCATTCCCAATGGGCTGCACGTTGGGACATAAATGTTCTTGTTCTTATGTTACTTCACTGTGACTTTTCTCTTGTATGGAAAGGTAATTAAATCATTAAAAATGATTGTCGTCTTTCCCAGGCTTTACGAGTAATATGTGGCTTTTCAAATAGTTGTTCCTGGGGAACTAAACCTTTCACATTCCCTTTGCTTGTCTGACACAGCCTGCATGTTACGCATTTTACAGAACAATATACCCTCTCAACTCCTGTCCGAGAACAACAGGACACATTTAATGATTTCCCTCCAAATTGCAAAGGAATGTCTTATGGATCCGTGAACAAAGTGATATATGTTTGTAACCTCCTTATTTATAGGTACAGGGATGGAAGGTCAGAAACTGTTATTCATAATCCTCCTGATGGTAACATGCACCGTCTTTAAAGCAGGAGAATTTGCTGAAATCCCAGACTACTTTGGCACAGTAAGTCATTTTATTCTCTATGTTACCAAGCCTTTCTTTTATGAAACAATATAATTGTATATTTTGTTTTTTAATGTGTATTTCCCAATTTATATGCTCCTATAAATTTGTGTGTGTATGTATGTGTGTGGGAGGCTTTTAACAGTTATATGCAGAACAAATATTAAGGTAATCAGGGTTGATTGCTGCAGACTGAACTGCTCCAATTAACAAAATTCAACTAATCTTGAAAAACAGATTTGGTAATGATGATATGAAAAAGCAATAAATCAGTCCAAAGGTCCGAGTTCAGAGTAGACTCTTTAATGGAACAGCAGAGTTCATAAGCAAAAGTTTGAATAAAGCAGTTCGAAAATGGAATAAGACAAAACAAAGGTTCAGAACAACAAGCACAATATCTCACAAAGCAGTGAGAACACATAGTCTTTACATTATATGCCTCTTAATCAGTAAACGAGTTACCATGTGTTCAATGACTGAAGAAGAACTGACACTATTTTCATTTAATCCAATTTATATGAATCAGTAAATAGAACATATTGCTAATTCTTATGTTTATAAAGTAGTATCTGAAAACACTATGCACAGTATCTTAAAGGTAGCTTGCCAATGAAAATAACCTGTACCTGTAATTACTTTTAACCCTTATCTGTCATCAATAAATCACATAAAATAGACTCATTGTTTCAGATGAATAGAGGCTATTTAATGCTGAGCTGTCAGAGTCCCAGAGAGATCATTTCAATGCTGATGTACAGCAATCCGCTGTGCAAAGTGTCGCCCAGAAAGGGTTAATCCTTAGCAGAACTTATTGATATTACGCCACTGGCACCAAATGAAGAATTCACATGGGTGTGCCAAGGAATGCTAGACATCTACTACATTTATATTTGTTAGCTGGTCAAGTTTCACTCTCCTGGAAAAATAGTCAGACTTGGAAATGGTTTATTGTAACACT